GCTTGATATTCTCTTCCTCATTTCTGTTTCTGTAGTGGTGCCCTATACAGAGAAGAGTAATAGGTGAAACCATGTTGGAGTAATAAGATAAGCAAATACTATATAGAACCCTGTTATTAATGTCTTAGCTTGGATACGTGCTTCGTGCACTTCAATTTTTATCATGTCAGACTTTTATTACTTTTTAGTATCTTTTTTTTAAAAGATATGAGGCGATAGTTACCTACTGTTCAAGACTCAGAGACAGTTTATTTACTTAAGTTTTGCATTTCTTTCCTTCAAGCTAGGAAAAATGATTTAAACAAATGGAAAAGGATTGAGTTCAAAATATTGCACAAAATTTTTGCAAACTGTAATTTTTGTCCTTGCTCCTGCTGACAGAATATTCTGGGTTTTGTAATAGTCTTTTCCCCTAGGCAAACTGGAACAAGTAAGAAAAGTCTGACTTCCTCATGCTTCCTCATGCTAGTATTTTTTTAGTAATGTGAGTAGACAACTTTGAACTAAGCAAGAAATTTTTTTGAGACATCTTCTCTTATCTTGTATATGGTAAGAGAATGGCAGCAATATGTGCCAATTTGTATTTTTGGAAGTATGTATTGAAATGTGATCTTCCAATGAACTGTTTGTTATCTACACTACAGAACTCCACCAGCAACGGATGGAAAATAAATAGGAATGAAAAGTAACTGATAATAAAGAATTGACAACTTCCTTACATTTTTAACGGGGCTGATAAGGAAGAATGTTATCAAAATTAAGTAATAACACTAATTTTGATAAAGTGGTAATAGCAGCGTCATATTGATTGCAGTTATATGCTAACATTTTTGTATATCATTTTCAATTGTATAGTAACTATGATTTTGCATACCATAGCCAGATGGACCTTTAGATCAGCAAAAGTAAGGTATAGCACAGTAATACAGTAAAGCATAGTGCTTTTATGAATGTGTAAGTTAATATTTTATTACTTGGAAACTGCAAATTGCATTTTTTAGTTATGAGAATATTTGTAAGTAAATGCTTAGGTTGCCAGCCTATTATCTTAGCTGTTTTATTTATTAAAGATTTTACAAGATGCAGGAGCATTCACAGCTTGACAAACCAGGAAGCATTGCCAAGGGTTCCATTCTGTAGAAAACACTGGCTGGTGCAGTAAGAAAAGGCCACGATGCCTAAGCTATTTAAAACTTTCTTACATTGTCATCAGTAGCTGGTTTATCTATTATCACCTCTGGCAGAAGCTGTCCAACAGGCGATGTAGGAACAGATGGTCCACCAACCAGGGAAACCACCCCATTGCAATCCACAGTGCTGTGCATCTTCCCATTCACTGGAAACACTGCCAGCATCCTGGATGACCTACTGGCCTGACTAATGTTACTGTTGCGCCGTTCACCGTGTCTGCGCGGCACAAAGAGAGAATCTCTTCGGCTATCATTGTCTTCAAAAGTGCTGTGCTCATCATCAGCAAAGTCATTTTCTGATCCTATATCCTTTGCTCGACCTCTGAAGCTGAAAAGACTTGTTCTGCTGTTGCGCCTTGGAGAAAATAGGGAGCCTCGAATGCTCAGCAAAGACTGCAGGCAAACAAAATCTGTGATTATTAGCTGAAACCTTCAAACTTAGCAGTTATTAGGATAGCATAGGGTATTTTTTTCTTATATGAGAGTAACCATGTTTCCCAGAAGCTAAATGCTGCTGTGAAATTTTTTTATGTATTTCAGTATATTTATATTTTGCAGATAGAAATACCACTGTTCATGGATTCTTAAGACAAAACCAATTTTGAGCACTCTTTTCTCCTAACGTCAGTTAGAGTTGCGGAGTAGAGTACTTGCACAATACCCATCAAGCAAAAAAGGGAGTCTATATATGCACATTCTTTCATGTATGCAGGATCCTGCACATATTGAACCAACCTCCAAACATCATTGAAGCAGGAGGAAAATATGAGGCTATCATAATGGAAAAATACTGTAGAATTTTAATAAGTCTAGATAATATATAATCACCCTGCCCCCCCCGAATCAATCAGAGAATATTTTAATATGATTTTTAAACAATCCTATTACAAGAATAGAGATATGAGGTTACATTTAATTCTCTGTGGTTTTTACAAGACAATCTAGCAGCTACAGCACTTTCCCTCGAGCACTAGCAACAATAATAAAGTTTAATGAAAATCTCAGTGTTTCCTTTCTTTAGGCAGTAGGGTCATATTACAGTACCAGAAAGATTAAAGTAGTTTTGTAACAGCCCATGATGTTTTAAATGTATGCTTCTAATAAAAATAACTATATGCAATACCTGATGTGGAGAAGAATACTTCTTTTCATATGTCAATCTATTGCCTTCAATAGATAATCGGAAACCTTTCCTTCTGATGCTGTCTTCTGATTCAGACTTGTGAAATTCATCTTCATCTTTTTCCTCTCCTCCAGATTGTTCTTTCTGTTTTCTTTTTTTCCTTCTATTTCTCCTCTCTTTTGCACTCTTTGAGCTCAATTTTGATGCCTCTGAGGAACTTTCTGAGAGCCCTTCTGCTTCTCCCCCAGCACTGGGCTCCCTGGACTCCGCGGATGCTGTTACTGCTGCTGCTGCCACTGCTGCTGCCTGCCATTTTGCAGAATGAATTTGTGTCACTGAGCAAACCACGACATCATGTTTTTGTTAAATTTACTTATACAGAATTGCTAGTCCAAACGCCTTGGATCTTAATACTTTCCATAGGATATCCTCTCCCTAGTTTTCTTCTAATTTTTATTACTCACTTGACTCAAGATATTTGTTGGTCATAGCCTTCTTCCATCTTTCATGAGTAGTTTTTAAATGCAGAAGTCTAACAGACTGTATTAATGACACTAGACTAAGAAAAACATAATGAATAACGTATACCTAGTTTTGACTATTCCTTCTTGATTATGGCTGGTTCGTTCACAGTACAATGTCTTTAGTGCAGAATAGAAAATCTCTGAGCTAGCTCTGTTGTTGAAAGCCCAACAGGGTGTTTTGTAACTCCAAATTCAGAAAGCAGAGGGTGAATACCTCTAGTAAAATTACTTCCATACACTTCTGCGTTACTACAGCATAAATTATACCTGAGCTGCTTCTTGTTGCTTCTTCAGTTGTTCCAGCATCTGTTGAAATTCTGCCTCTTTCTGCTCTGCTTCTTCCATGGTTGCTTGATTCTGTTCTTCATAGGCCATGGCGACCACAGCCAAGATCAAGTTGATCAGGTAGAAAGAACCCAGAAAAATCACCAGAACAAAAAATATCATGTATGTTTTCCCAGCAGCACGCAGTGTCTGGAAATAAGAATACCTTCATAAGCAAGAATAGGTTAACAAAAGTGCTGTTTTTCATACTGTTAAAGTTAAGATAACATAAGAAAATTGGTTTTAGGCCTCTTGCATTATTGGTACAAATATATTTAGCCTATTTTGCGTTAAAAAATTCTCACCAATTGATAAAGGTTTTCCCAGAAGTCTTGAGTCATCAACCGAAATAGTGACAAGAAAGCCCAGCTGAAGGTGTCAAAACTCGTGTAGCCATAATTGGGGTTTCTACCAGCTTTCACGCATGTATATCCTTCTGGGCACTGCCTGCAAAGACAAACTGGGTGTTATCTTATATAGTTATTTTAATATTATCACTTGGAATGTCCAGGAGAAAATTAGGACTAAAAAGTGAATTTTCGTTTAGTTATTCAGACTAGAAATAATAGCAGTTGTGATTTTTAATAGAAAATTATTTTAAAGGACACTAGAAAAATTAAGCAGGAAAGACATATAAAAATTAGTGTCAAAAGTTTAATCTAAGCTTCTAAAACATAATACTCCAAATAATTTCTTTAATTATTTGTGTTGTAACATTAATGTCAATGTCAGTGTTTTCTACTGTCTGAGCCTGTTAGTACTCACATGTGCAGCTGGAACCGCAGAATAACACGTGTCTTCCAGCTGCTATGTCTGTTACTTCTCATCCAGGCAGGAGCTACACTAACACCAAATTACTGATTCATTCATGCAAAGACTAAGCTCATCTAACCAATCCACTGAGCTCTGACCAGGAACCCAAATCCTCAGTCCAGTGTAAAATCCTAGTATTTCTTATGTGAAAGAAAGTGGTCACTCAAAATATAGCCCATGGCCAACTGCACATCTAAAGAACATGGATCTAATTTGTACATGGTGCAATAATATGATGAAATTTGGTCTTACCCAGCATCAGAACTATTTCCGCAAAGCAGAGCATCGTTTTGCCCTTCCAGAAAATAAAAATGACCTGTTTAGAAAAGAATTTTTTTAAAATTATAAAATTCTGAATATGCAAGTTTTCTTACAGCTCTATGAAGTAACTAGTCCCGCTCTAGAAGTGTTAAGGTGATTTCAGATGCAATTTTAAACAAG